TCAGTACACAACACTCACCGCACCCGCCGTCAGCACCGCGTGCATGCCACACCAGCACGTACTGCATGACTGCACCACACTGCAGTAGCCATGCTGCCCTGTACCGCCTGCCACCACTTGTCCCTAAAAAAGGACCACTTTGATTTACATGAAGCACTGGCCTGCATCCGATCCTGCACACAGCCACTTGACACCCCCGTGATAGCCACACGGCGAGCCAGACAAATACACAGGGTGCATCAAGGTGTCCCGGCCCTCTTCCAGGCGGACAAAACGGGGCAGCACTGCCGAGCACAGGCAGAACGTGTCCACTAAGGTGCATTTGGCAGCACCGCGATTTCCAATACACGAACGTGACTGCACCAAATCTCAGCGACCCGTGCCGAAGGGCACGGCGGGTCAGCAGAGATGCGCCTGCCGCTGTGATTCGGCCGTGTGTGCATTCAGGGGTTGGCGCGGGGCAGCTGGCCCCTGGCCAACCGCTGAGCCCACAGACTTGCCAAGCGGCCGTGTGGAACTCTCTCTGAAAGAGACACAAACCTACAGCAGGCGACGTGGCTGCGCTGGTCGTCTGCTGCGCAGGGGCGGCCGTGGCCGCGGGCGTGGGTACATGAATACAAACGGCGCACCGGATGGGTACAAGGGCTTGTGTGGCAAAGTTAGAAGTGCAAGGTGGGGCCAGCGTCGGCGCCGGTCGACCGCCACTGTGCTAGGTGCAGTGCACACATGTGTGCGTGGACAGACAAAGCCGCAGCCGGTGAGGCACAGATGGGGCCCGGCTAGCCGGCGCCGACGCCAGCCGACCATGCACAGGCCGGCGCCAGCCCCTTGCGGGGCCCTGTGCGGGCGGCCGGCAGCTAGGGAATCAGAGAAAATGACTGATTTTTTCCCGAGGTGCATGTACATTTTGGGAGACGCGCGGCGGATAGGTAGCCCTGCCGTAACCGCGACTTGCAGGGTTGTAAGGGAGGGGCTGCACTGCGCTGACAACAGACAAGCCCAACTCTGATGACCGTGCTATGTGGCCCGCGGCGACGCAACAGGCACGCTGGGCGCGCCGCAGGACGCCACGCCCCCGCGTTTGCGTTGGCGCCAACCGGTGTGCTGTCCTCGCGGCGGCGGCCCATCTTTTGGTGGAGAATGCGACAAAGGGGGTGGAAAATTGCGACAGGTGCACAAGGCAAGATATCAAAGAGAATGCAGAACTACGACGAGCAGTCCTGAAAGAGCCAACCAAAGAAGATGGCGAGCGACATGTGCGCGTGCCGCGGCAGCAGCAGGGGCGCGCGCTGCGGCGACCATGATCCCGCAGGTCCGCACCAAGCAGGCGCCGCCGGCTACTGCAGGCCGAGGGTCGTCTGCGATTGCTCGCCCCGACGCTTGCCGCTGCAATGGGAGGATGGATTCGCATGAGGCGGCCGTAAAGTGCAGCGGCTGTTGTGAGGGGCGCTACAGCAGGTCGTCGGGTAGCAAGGCCGCAGCCTGGTCCGCAAAGGCAGCAGCCAAAACGGGACCGCTCCCGCTGTTGCAGCCACCGCGCCCGCCCGCGCGCGCCCCGATTGGCGCCGAAAGCGGGGCCGCCGCTGGCGCCGGCGAGACCACTGGGTCGGAGCCCCAGCCGTCTGAGCCTCCCCAGACCGCGTCGTCCGCGCCGCCGCTGCTGCTCCATGAGCAGCTGCTGGGCAGCTGCCCCCGCGGCCGTGCCTGCCGCGCCGCAGTATCCTCTGAGGCGCCCCCCGACGCGCGGTGGCCGCAGGGGCCGTCCCCTGATGACGGCGTGGAGCAGCGCACGGCAGCTACAAAGCAGCTGCCGCCACCCTGGAACTCCCCACGCAGGTGCTCAAGCAGCGAGTCGCTCAGCACGTGCGGGGTATCCTCCCCCGCCGCGGCGCCAAGACCGGCGGCCCGGTGGCCCTGAGGCGGGTCCGGCGGTGCCACAGAGACGGAAGGCAGGCAGGCGGCTGCGGCGAGCAACCCCAAATCGAGATCTTCCTCCGGCGCCGGCTCCAGGGGAACATTGGATTCAACGCTGGCGCCCGCCGTGGCCATGCACTGCATTGCATACAGCAGCCTGGCGTCCAGCGCCCTCCCAGCCCCGGCCCCACCGCGCGCAGCTGCAGCCGCCGCCGCGATGGCGGCCGCCGCTGCGCTGGTCGCGACCTCTGGCCCGAGGCCGCCGCCGCCGTCGCCACCGAGCGGCGCCCCGAGCGCGAGCCGCAGCAACGCGGGCGGCGGCACGCCGAGCGCCGCGAGCGAAGAGACCCACCTCGCGCGCTCGGCGGCGACCGCGGCGGCGGCGGCGGCGGTGACGGCGCGGCTGAGCGCGGCCGCCTCGTGAGCTGCGGCGTCGCAGAGCACGCTCGCCAGCTCGCGGCTGTGCAGGGCGTGCAGGCGTGCGGCCTCCTCTCGCAGCTGCGCGTTCTGGCTGCGCAGGCGGCGCACCTCGTCGGCGGCGGCGGCCTCGGCCTCGTGCTGCTGCTGCTGCTGCTGCTGCTGTGGCGGCGCCTGTGAATCCGAAGGCGCCGATGGTGGCGGTTGCTCGTGCTGCTGCTCCTGGTCCTGCAGCAGCTCCTGCTGCTGCTCCTGCTCCTGCTGTTGCTGCTGCTCATGTTCTGCCTGCTGCTCCGGCTCGCGCTCCTCACATCGCTGCAGCAGGGCCGGCGGCTTTTGCTGCCCTGCCGCGGCCCCGGGCTCCGCCAGCCCCTCCTCACCCACACCCTGGGCCCTCAGCGCCAGGTCCTGAGGAACAGGCAGCGGCCGCTCCTGCGGCCGCGGCGGCACACCACTCGCTTCAAGGGGGCCGGGCGGCGCCGCCGCTGGCGGACCCGCCAGCAGCTTCGCCCACGTTTGCGGCGGTGCCCCTTGCACCCGGCCGCCAGTAGTCGGCCCCGCGGTAGAGGGCGCCAGACGCGGCGCGCGCGCCGCGGCGGTGGCGGCGAGGGGGGCGCCACCGTCCCCAGCCGGCGCCGCCGAGCCTGGCGCCAGGCACGGCTTGTGTGCCTGTGCAGCACCGGCCCACGCCTGCGCCCGGGGGCGTGGCTCTTGCGCGGCGGCGAAACGAGGGGTGCAGCTTGTGCTGAGGCAGGAAGGCTGCTGTAAGCCGCCGCCGCCACCACCGCTGTGTTGCGTGCCGTGCCGCGCACGCGGCGTGTGCGTGCCGCACTCACGCCCGCTCGCCGCGGCCGCCTGCTCGGCCGTCCGCTCGACCGCCCGCTCTAGCACCGCCGCAGGCGCCCGCCTGAGCTTCGGCGGCGGCTTGGCTGGCGCCGCGGCGGGCTGGGGCCACGCCGCGGCGTCGGGCGGTGGGGTGGGGCTGCAACCTGCGGCAGCGGCGGCTGCGGCTGCGGCTGCGGCGGCAGCCGCGGACAGGGCTTTTCGATCTGCCCTGGTCTTGACAGACTCCCATC